TATAATATATATTTTTATTAAATGATTTTTAAATGTAATATTTAAAATATATATTTGTGTGGAAAATTAAAGCTATATATATTTATATATATATAAATAATTATGTAATCATTTTTATGTTAAAATAATAAAGGAACATATTAATTTATACTATACGAGTAAGAAATATCTCATATAAATATTTAAAAAAACAAAAAGTTATTGTTGTATTGTTTATAAAAAAATGATTATATAATAAAATATAAATAGGATAACATTGGTATTTTTTTGATCCTTCAAAAAATTTTCATTATAAAAATAAGATAAAAGTATATTTTATATAATATTTTAGAAAATAGAATAAAAATATACTTTATTTGTTTGTTATATTATTTTGTATGTAAATGTATTTTATGTTTCAATATATAAATGTAAACCATTTTCATATTAAATATATATTTGTTGGTATTGTGTTATAATTTTTATTTTATAACTTTTGTATGTTGGCTATTTATGTTGCAGAAAAAAAAAAAGCAATAAAATATATCTACATATATATATATATATATATATATATATATATATATATATATATATATATTAATTTTATTAAGTAATTGCTCTTCTTATTATATTTTTTCACAACAAGTAGAATATTTTTTCCATATAATTTCATAACATCAATAAATAACAAATAACACAAGGGTTATGATTCCTGGAAGAAAATCAAATGGAATAAACTACATATTGTGTTATATTAATTCAATTTTTTTTGATAGGAACTACTTTTAAAAACTTGATACATATAAAATTGTCTTTATCAATATATTCATTTGTGTTTATTTCATTACTATCATAATCATATGTTTTGTAAGAATTAATTTTATTCATAGATAATTTTCTCTTTAATTTTGTTTTAAGCCCTTATTGAAAATTCTTTTTTATATTTTTACCATATTATTTTACTGCTTCATTTTATTATTCCATTTTCTTTGCATTTTTCTCCCATTGTTATTTTGAACATATTTTTCTGTTTTGATTTACAATTTCCATTATATATTCCTATACGTTTATTTAATATTTGCTTTCAAATTTTTTAATTTTTCTGTTAAATATTATTTTTCATATAAAATTATATTTTAACAAATATTTTTTTATTTTTTGGAATTGTCAGACTTATTTTAAAAATTTCTTTTATGATTGCAATTTTATTGGATTGGACATTTTTTTTTTTTGTAGCTAACTTTTATGTTCTTTCTTAGTATTTTTCTTATCATTTCTGTTTTTCTTATTAATTATATAATAAATGATTATATATGCATTAATATATTATGTTAATTAAAAAATATATGAAATGCTTAATTTATAAAAGATGATTTAATTCAATTGAATATGAACATATTTTTTTTTAAGAATAAAATAATATTAATTATTACACCTCAGTTTTAAATGTTACTTATAAAGCATAAATTTATATAGCAAATTGATTTAAAAATATAAAAATTAAGAAATAAAAATTAATGAATTAAAAGAATAATATGGTTTTTTCGTTTAAAAAATATATATTATAAAAATATATAATAATTAATACAATATATATTATTTGCTTAGATAAATAAAAATCATTTAATCGTGATGTTCTTCTACTTAAGTATTTAGATTTTATTATTTTTTCTCCAAGATAGATTCTTTATTTTGAACTAATAAACATATTAAAAGTATTAAGGCTATAATACATATATTAATTATTACAACAGCTACAACTATTGAAGAAATTTCAATGGATGTACTACTAGCTATACATGCAGTTGCTTGTGAAAGAGCATTAGAACATAATGTAGCTTTTATACAACCAAATATGTTTGGAGTAAAAACCGCAGTTGTAGTATATGTATATTTAGAGAAGAAACTGCAAAACATGAAATAATTTTAGCTTTAGCTACTGCATATGCAGCAGACGTTGTATCTATGGAATAAATTGATTTTCCTATTGATCATAAAAAACCCATAACAATTATATAAGCACTAATATTATGTTTATGTATTTTTTCTTCGAGTAATTCATAAAAAGAGCTCAATATCTCAAAAATTAATTTTCTTTGATTTTTCGTTATATTCTTCTTAACTACAATAATAAAAATTTGTAGAATTCTAAAAAAATTTATAAAATAAACTAGATGAATTTATATATTTTTTATTATTTATTAATTAATACATACTACGTTTAACTTATTGTAATTGTCGCTTCTGTAATTGTTCGTTTAAATATTTATCATATAACTGTTGTACGTTTTTCTTTTTTGCTTCATAAAAAAGTGTGTTCAATTCATAATCAATCAATTTAACTTTTTTGCATATATCTTTTCCTATAATGTCTTTAAGAATTTGATTTGTTATTAGTGAGATTTCTTTGAATTCCTTTTTTATATATTCCTCACATCATATTCTGTTATCCAATATTTCTCTAACCAAAGTTTCAATATTTTTTTTTAGAACTTGATAATATTTTTTTTTTTTTATTTTTATGTTTTAATAATTTTATTTTCTTTAATTCGTTCTTAATTATTTCATCTTTTTTTTTATTCAAATTTGTTGTAATTATTCTAATATATATTCTAATGTAATAATATCTGGTATTGTATCAACTAGTGTTTTATTATTTGTCGTGTTTTTAGAATGATTACTATTATTTGTAGGAATATTCTAAAAAGGAAAAAGAAAAAAAGAAGGCATTGAATATATTATAAAATATATCATATAATAGAATTTTAATATTTTAAAATATTTGTATGTGTATATTATTTTTTTACGTTATGTGATCATATAGGTGCATCTAAAAGAAGAGAGGAAAAACATATTTTAAAATAAATAAAATTAATAATAATTTTATTATTAGAAAAATATATGTTTAATCCTTGTTATTTGTAATTATATTATTATAACATAATTATATATATATATGTATAAATATTATATAGTTATTAATATATTCTTATTTTGTAAGTATATATATATATATATATATATATATATATTTGAATTATATAAAGCATAAACAAATAAATACATATATGTATTTATGATTTTTAATTATTTATTTATCTATACATACAGATATTACAAAATCAAATACACAATGAATATATGTAGTTAATTTTTATGTGTAAATATATGTATCATATATTTTACATAATATATTATAATAAATTTTTAACTCATCACATACAATATAATAGAATTATAAGTTATTATAAAAATATCATTGATTTAATTTCTTTTTACACATATTAAGAAGCAAATATATATCTTTCTATTTAATTTGATTAGTTTTTATATAACATGTGTTATCATTTCCTTTTAGAATAAATTTATTTATATTATGTTATATAAAATAGACAAATCTGAGTATATATTTATATGTGTTTAATTCTATAAGGCAATTTAAATTTTAGGATATTACCCGAAAAAATATCTACTATTTAAAAATTATAATAAAATAACATATATTGAAAATATATTATGTGAACCATTATTATTATTATTATTATTATTATTATTATTATTATTATTGAAAATAATTGTGTTATTATTATTCTTTAATAAATCGAAAAAGGAACTGTTAATATGAAATAATTTGTATATTTATATAAAATAGTTTATTAATATATTTAAGAATAATTATATAATATGTCATATTAATTATACTATTAGTTTGATTATTATAAATTTTGTATGAAAGTTATTGTAAATTCTTTTTAATGCAAATAATTAATTATTAGAAATATGTATAGCATTTCAGTTAAATATTAAAAGTCAATTATTTCATATTATAATATTATTGTTATTTAAATTATTAGAAATACAATAATATAATAAATGTTTACCTTTATATAAATAAAATATAAGTTATATGATAAAAGAATATAACAGAAATTATAAAATGTTTATCTTATATTAAATATTACAGAAAATGAGAATAATATTAATAATAATAATAAAAAAAATGATTTAATATATATATATATATGTAAATGTTTCTAAAAATTAAATAGATTATAAATTAGAGTACTCTTAAAGAACCCGTTTATATTACTAAAGATAAACAAATATATATATATATATATATATATATATATATTATATTTTACCTTTTTTATATTACACAAAATATTATTTTGTAGTTCTATATTTATTATTAGTAAATATGTACATATTCTATTGTTGTTTGTACAGTTCAATGAATGTGCAACATATAAATATTATGTTATATATAAAATATATGAAAAACATTTGTATAATATGACAATATTATATATATATATATATATTAAATTTTGTGTGCCTTTTGGTATTTAAATTTTTGAAAATTTATATCATCTAATTGGAATTATATATTGTGTTATTACCCTATATTTATTCTTCTATAAGTTTGTATGATGTTACATAAATAAATAAATTTATATAATTAAATATATTTTTAATTTTATCACATATTTTATTAAATTTTTTTCTATAATTATCATATAATATATTTTGAAAAAAAGTATATATTTTAGTTTTTTAGAAACGTGTGGATATACAAATAAAGGTACGTTGATTGGATATTAAAGAAAAAGAGAAAAACGGAAGAGAGTTATTTATTTTTATATAATCATAATGTAATGTTATAAATATTGACATTTGTTCTTATTATAATATGTTTATTTATATTGTAATTTAACATATATTTTACGCTTTCATTATGTATTAATTGGTTTAGTACGTTTATAAAATACATGTTAAACATAAATATATTAAATAATATATTTTTTTCTATTCAATAATTATAAAATATATTATTAAAATATATAATGTATTTTTAAAACGTGCACAATGAAAGACGTGTATGAATTACATGTTTATATTATCTATTTTTTTTAATTTGTAAATAGTTATCAGTTCATTTGAATACAACATAAATTAAAACAATAGTTAATTAATATGCTATAAAATAAATATTTTGTTATATATAACTTTAATTAGTTATTTTATTTCATTTTATTTTATTTTATTTTATTTTCTTTTTTGTATTAGTTTTTAAAATTAGTTTATAATAATATGTAATAAATTATATGAATGAGAATATCTATATAATGATCATTAAATCATAATATATTCAGTATAATATAAAACAAAACAAAATTAGAAAAAAAGATTTATATTTAATTAATGGATAATATATATAAAAATATATGTTATATAATATACAAAGTATTAATAATGTAAAATATAAACGGAAAAAAATATAGGAAAGTATGGATTTATAATTTGAATATATATTCATAAAATTAATTAATTAATTAATTATATTGTAAATATACACAACTGATTAATTTATTATATGCCAAATTTAAAAAATGTCACATATAATATATATAAATTAATGTGAATAAAACATTGTTTTATATTATTATTTCAAATTCTCATATTTAATAACTTTTTATATACATTCATCCTCGTCAAACTTAGGCAAATATAAAAATTTTTTAATAACATATACAGGTACTATAAAATTAATGGGGTAACAAGGAATTATAAATATTTCAAAAAATGAAAGTAAGATTAAATGTAACAATGGTGAACGCTTATTCTGAATCCTTAAATCTAATATTTTGTCTAAAAATAGATTATCATAAAATTCTAATTTATATTTTAATTTTTTAATATATTTTATCTGTAATTCATTATTCATATAATTAACATGATCAATGTAATCATATTTTGCATCATTTATTTCTTGTTTTAATAAACCAAAATAACTAGGTTTTTTATCTGTTTCATCATAATTAGATATTGTATCTATATCCTTGTCATTATCATTATCATTATCATTATTTATATGACTCGTTTTATGCGTTTGTAAGATTTTGTTAGTTGTCTCATCATTCTTTGGATATATTTCACATAATTGTCTAATCAAATTATAATATGTTATATTATCATTTTGAGAGACATTAAGAAATGTGTTATAATATACCTAAAAGTTATAAATAAATTTATAAATAATGTTATTAATAATATAAGAGTATGAAAAAAAAAAAAAAAAAAAACATGATAAATAATATGTATATACATTTTCACATATTATGTATTTTATATTAATACCTTATTAGAATTAAATAAGCCTAAAATAAAAAGTAAAAACACAAAAAATTTATTCATTGAAAAAAGATAATTCGATTTATTAAAGACATTATAAATATATATAAACCTTATATTTATATATAGATAATATATTCATGATATATGAGGGTTTTTATAAAATATATATTATATTTTAATAATTTTATATAAATTCGTTGAAAAATTAAATAATAAAAAAATTTATTTTATAAATACTAAAAAATTATATAATATATATATTTATGAAAAATAAAAAAAATAAAAATAATAAAAAAAATATTATATTTTTATCAATATATATAATAAATATATATATTATAATGTATAATATAATAATTTAATATATTTTTGGTTATAATGAAATATCAATTATTTATATATAAATTGATTTATATATTAAAACATATTTTTTAATTATATATATAATAAATTAAGCAAATATATAATTGGCTAACGTAATAATTTTAATATATATAGATAAAAATTACTTTTTCTTAAAAAAACATAAATTATTAGAAATATAAAATAAGTAAAAACAGCCAAAATAATAATAAAATAATTAATTAATTTTTTAGTATATAATTATATGCATATAATATAAATATATATAATTATAATTATATATTTTTATTAATTTATTAAAAATAATAATAATATAAATACAATTACAGGGATTTCATTAAAATATTATATATAATATATTTTAAAAATAAATTATATTAATAATTATTTGTGAAGAATGAATAAAATTATATTAATTTTTTTTTTTTTTTTTTGTATTTCCTTTATCGTTGTAGTTAAAATTATATTTTATAAAAATTTATATTAATGTTTATGTAATATGTTTTCTATAATAAAAAGTTTTATTTTTATTATGAATTTTTTTTTTTTTTTTTAATTATTAAAAATCAAAATATATTATTAATATAATTATATATAATTTTTTTTTTTTTTTTTTTTTTTTTTTTTTGAATATAATAATAAAGTTATTTATATTGCAAATTTTTTTTTTATTATATTTATAATATGTATAATATGAACAAATCATTATGTAATTGTATAAAATAGAATAATAAGAATCAGTTATCTTTATGTTTACACAATATATATATATATATATAAATCATTATAGAGAAGTATAAAATATAAATGTAGTCTTATTAAAATATTTAGATATAATTTATATAAATGCAACATATGTATAATAAAATATAATATGTAACAAGAATAATTATAAATAATTGAATAATATAGTATAAATAAAAATAGAATTTTATATAATATGTCTATAGAATTTTAATAATACAGAAATGGCTAATACTTTATATCGAATGAATTACAATATATTATAAGATAAAAAAATAGTAATATTTTAAGGCATATAATATATTTTATAAAGAAAACACAAAAAGAAAGAAAGATCCAACATTATATATATATATATATATATATATATATTTCTCTTTGTTTTTGAATAACTAAAATAAGTAGTTTTACCTTTTATCTTAATATCATATAGTTAATTCTTATTTCTTCTCTTATTCTTAACGTAATATTTAATTTTACATTTTTTATGATTATATGTTCCTTTGTAGATTTGTACTTCTTTTGCTGAAATTATTTTATTTTTATTTGTTCATTTTTATTTATATATTTTTATGAATGTAATTTTTAGTCTTTTTTACAAAGAACAATAAAATATTCATATTATGTATAAACAAATTGGTATTTCTGCTATATATATATATATGTATATATTCATAAATTTTCTAGGGTCTTGTGTAAAATACGGTGTACACAATTGCATATAATTTTTTTTATATATGAAGAAGAAATTAAATAGAAATATTAATTTCCTAATATATTAAAATTAAATTTAATTTTTTGTACCTTAAAGACATAATTTAAAAAAAAAAAAAAAAAAAAAAAAAAAATGGAAAATGTATAAAGAAATAAAAATATAAAAAAATGTATGAAAATTCTATGTATATTTATATATAAAAAATTTTAAGTATACTTAAATTTTATTTTTTTAAAAAAAATATGTTTATAATTCAAAAATATATATGTTGTAATTTATGTATATATTTATAAAGAAACAAATATTAGTAAAACATACATTTAAAAAAAAAAAAAATTATGAAGTATTTTACATTCTCCAATCTGTCCGTAACACAATGAAAAAAAAAATAATAAAAATTAAGAAAATTTTTTTTATATATTTTTTACATATATTAGATTGTTTACTAAAAAAATTACTATTTTTAACTTTTGTATTTTGTTATAAATTGGTTTATATATATATGTAGATAGCGAAATACTTTTAATTTTTTTTTTTTTTTTTTTTTTATGATGAACTATCCTAGGTAGCTAGCTAAAATAATAATGAAAAAAAAAAAAAAAAATTATATATAAAAGTTTTATTTTGAATTAAGAATGTTATAATATTGTTATTTTTATTCATAAAAATAATATTTATAAAAGGTAGTAAAATTTATTTATATATATTTATACTTATAAGTGGTTAAAATTGGACAAAATTTTATTTTGAAAGTGGGATATGAAAATAAAATATGAATTAAATATTGAGGCATAATGTTAAAGGAATTTATAATTTTTTCACATACATATATATATATATATTATTTTGTTATAATATATTTTTGTATATAGATACAAAATATTTATATATGCATATAAGGGATGTAAAAATATTGGTGCCCACATATTAGCATAAAGATACATTCAAAAATTGTTTTTATATTAATTAAATATACAAAAATATTAGTTTTTAAAAAAGAAAAATTGTAATTATTAAATAAATAAACATGATTGCTGCTCTGAAATGCCTTGTGAAAAAAAGAGGAGAAATATCAAGAAGTTAATAACTTGTGTTTCGAAAAAATTATTAATATATATCAAAATGAGAAAAATAAAAAAAATAAAAATTTTTAATTTTTTGTTTTAATTTGTTTGAGTTCTTTTATATTTAATTAAATCACTCTTTTTTTCACAAGGAAGAATATTCCTTTTTCGTTAAAAATTTCTGTTCTTTTGGAATGTTTTATAAGAGAGAATATTTTAATGAAATAAAACAATCAGCCTAATTATATTATATAATAAATTGTAAAATTTGATAATATATATAGGAAATAATATTTATATAAAATTAAAATTATTATATAAAATTAAGAAATGAATAATCTGTTATTTTTTTTAATAAATAAAACATAACACAACAAAATAATTAAATTTACGAATAGACCATGCCACTAAATTTTCTATTTTCCTATGGAGAGTAACTTTTTGTGTAAATATTTATATATATATATAACTGTTAAAAAGATATGTTTAACACACACATATATATATAAATTAATTTTAATATGATATGTATTTATATTATTATATGGATAAATGTTATGTATATATATATATATATATATATATATATATATTATGTTGCTGTTTTAAAAGATAATTTGTTTATTTTATATATTATAAGTATTATTTATTTTATGTATATATTTCATTAAATAATTGCTATCGTTTTAAATTTTACACATAATTTAATTTTAATTATGATTTTTATATGTTTGTTTTGTTTTAAGATAAGAAAAAACATACGCATCACAGTGTTTTTTACATAATACATCATATATATATATATATATATGTATGTATTTTTTGTTTTGTTGTAATATAATAGAAAACTCACACATCACAATATTTTCTATTTAATGTTTTTTATATATATATATTTAGTTTTGTTGTGATATAAAAAGAGCACATACGTCACAGTGTTTTTATAATGTAATATTTATATCTATATTTGTTTTAAAGTAATATTAAAAAAAAAAAAAAAAAAGAATGCATACGTTTAAGTATTTTTTATATAATATATTATTTTATATAAATGTTTTATTTTGTTATAATATAATAAAAAACACACGTCACAGTGTTTTTTATTTAATGTATTATTTTATATAAATGTTTTGTTTTGTTATAATATAAAAAAGAACACACACGTCACAGTGTTTTTTATTTAATGTATTATTTATATAAATGTTTTATTTTGTTATAATATAAATGAAAGAACATACGTCACAATGTTTTTTTATTTAATGTATTATTTACGCATATTTGTTTGTTTTGTAAAGCGCTATTTATAATGTTTTATACTTGCTAATGTTATTTTTAATATGGTATGTTTTGAACATATAAAAATCAAATATTAATATATCTTTTTATTTATTTATTTATATTATTTTTTTTTTTAATTATTAGACGTTTTGTGGTGTGTTTTATTAATGTGTTTATCTTTTCACATTATGTGACTGTCTGTCTTTGTGTGTGTGTGATTTTGAATGTAAGAATAATGTTTTGTTCATATTATTTTATTAAAAAAACATATATTTATCTACTCCTATTTAAAGAAAATGACTTTTACGAAGGACTATTTTATAATATAACCAATACGTGTAAATATGAAATGAATTATAATAATTTGAAAGATCTAAATTTTTTTTAAAAAGTATAGATTAAGTAGAATAGATATTATTAATATGTAAATTAATTTTTTTTTTTTTTTATATAACATTTTCATATTAATTTTGGAAAACGTTATTTTTCTTTTCATATTACACAATAGTGTTGGTTAACAAAAATATTATATAAATAACTGGGTTTTAAAACGTACAGAAGTATTTTTATGGTGAGAATAAAAAGAAAGATATTATATGAATATGGTGGTACTTTATAGTTTTGGTGTAACGCTCCTGTGGTGAATAGAGTTATTGGTTTCAACAATGTTAAAAAGATTCGTTCAGAGATCATAAATATATATAATGGTCTGAATTATCTCTAACACTATTTGATTATTATTCCGTATATCCAATTGGTAGATCCCTTCATATGCATAAGT